CACATGAGAACCAGAATGTTACTGTTTTAGTAGCTAGGAGGAAGCACAGAGTTTAAAAAAAAAACTAGAAATGAATAATATTGCTATTATCAAATTAAAAATATTAACTGAACAATTTTAAAAAATATATCAAAGTAGAACAAAATGTTTAAAAGACAACTATGGTTAGATGTTAGTCACCAATCTTTATCATTTTTATCATTCTTCTCAGTTGTAATCATGCCCTCTATATAAGTTTGTATCCTGCTTTTGAAAATTAATATTTAACTGAAAAATAGCCAACATTTTGGCATTTCTCCATTTCTCCTTGTCAGATAACTCAACTTTAAAGATACATCTCAAAAACTCTGCACTATATGAAATATTAAAAGCACATGTAAAAGCATAGTGGGAATAAATTGAACATCAAGTTACTGAAATTTTCTGAATAATTGCTTAGGCTGTCAGGAAGCAAAATATGTAATTATTCAACTGTCTGCTTCACTTGAGGAGTAGGAAATGGCAACCCACTCCAGTGTTCTTGCCTGGAGAATCCCATAGATGGAAGAGCCTGGCGGGCTACAGTCCATGGGGTCACAATGAGTCAGACACAACTGTGCAGCTGACCTACTGCTTTATTTGAGCATGGCAGCCTAGGTCTATAGTTTGCAAAAGTACATTTTGGAGCTTAAATTGCCTGAATTTTCATACTACCTTAATTTTACATAAATACATGTAAGGTTTATGACTGTACGCACACACAGAGAGGAAATGTGTAAACATGGTGTCAAGCCCAAGTTTAGCTCAAGAACAACTTGTGGTTGATCAAGCAGATCCAATACTCAATTGCAGGAGGCAGAGCACAGGCCATGGGAAGTCAGGGGTGTTGAGCAGGAGGGGCCTGGGAGGAAGCGTGGGAGGGTTGGGCTCTGGTTGGGTGACCTGGGGAGGGTCTAAGGACACAGGGATCCACTCTGGCTCTGGTGCTATGAGAAAGCCGGGCAGTTCTACCATTGATGTCTCCTCTACAAGGAGGGGAAGCTGGGGGAGGATGAAGCTGTAATTGCAAAGAAGTAGCAGTCACTCATTTCAGCTAGTAGAGGAGGTGTTCCGTATTTTGCAGGTCACCCAGTGACCTGTTTTTGTCTTTGCTTCACCCAGATCGTGAAGCAGCCTTACTCTCATTTTATCCTGGTCTCAGGGCAGCCTTGTCTGAGGCTGGTATGGTCCTGGGAGAGTCACGGAATCCAGGGGGGCCAGCTTCTGAATGTCTGAGGCTGCTATTCTTTCTCTCTCAATAGCTTCAGTCATTCTTGTTCTATAACTGGCAGATCTCAGTTTTATATGTGGGTATTTGCATATAAGATATGCAGCCTTTTGCAACAAGTACGATCCTATTGGGTTGGATAAGAGAGTGAATATAAGAGGAAATATTATCCCCAGAAAGAACAGCTCAGTACTACTCCTTGGTCTCCCATCTAAACAGTTGGCCCTTTCAAGAACTGATGCCCTTCTCCTCCCCATCTTTTGCTTGGGTACCATGTTGCCTTCCTTGTTATCCCTAGATGAGTGCTTGGCACCAGGACAAAAACACAGCAGCAATCCTTCCTCAGGATAAAGTAATGATAAACTAGGATTTTCATTCTCATTTTGTTTTGAAAGAAGAATTCTCATAAGTGTTTAATAATTTATAAGAGGAAAAGAATTTTGTTTCATTTTCAGTTCAGACTCTCTGTTCTGATCACCAGTAACCATTGCTAGGGGTCACTGGACTCTGAACTGTCTTTAACATTTTTTCCCCAGTTCTTTTTTTTCTTCCACTAGAAAACAAACATTTCTTATTTCTGGTATTTTGAAGAGTCTTTTTTGTTTCCTTACTCAGAGGTATTAATGTTGCTGTTCCCTTCTTACTCCTTGGAGAATAACTTGTTGGTCTGTGTGTGTGTCAGTATAACTAGTACAATATTTTATGATATACTAAGTATAATCACTTTGTTCTTGCTTATAAAACTTAGGAATGCCACACTGACTTTCACCATAACTGCCTATCTATCCACATGCATGTTTACTCAAAAAACATTTGTGGGGCATCTGCTATGTGCCCATACAGCTTTGCTCCAGGCAACAGGACACTAAGGAAGGAGGGAAGGGAGGCCAGGATTCCAGTGTCTGGGTTGGAATTCCTGCTCTGCCACTGCTGGGTAATTAGTTGATCTTGTTAAAGTTTACATTCTTTCTCTGTAAAATGTGGGGATCACACTGCTACTTCCCCTTAAGACTGCTGGGAGGACTGAAAGAATCAGTTACATGTTCACTGCCATGCTTGTCACAGTTAGTATGCAGTATCTCTCTCTCTCTCTTTTTGAGGATAAATTGTTGAATTATTAGATGCTGTCCTTCCTCAAGGAACTGACTGAAAATCAGGCTCACTCCCTAGGAAGGAGGCATCCCGCTCATTCATGGGGAGGGTTTTGGAGAGAGGAAGAGGAGCCCTAATGAGAAGTGAGCCTGATGGGTGAGGGTCCAGGCTAAGTGGAGAGTGAGAGAAAAGGCGGAGGAGAGCTTAGTCCATAGTTGTGTGTGTGTGTGTTAGTCACTCAGTTGTGTCCGACTCTTTGCGACCCCATGGACTGTAGCCCGCTAGGCTCCCCTGTCCATGGGATTTTCCAGGCAAGAATACTGGAGTGGGTTGCCATGCCCTCCTCCAGGGGATCTTCCCAACCCAGGGATCGAACCTGGGTCTCCCGCATTGCAGACAGACTCTTTACCATCTGAGCCACCAGGGAAGATTTAGTCCATAGTTGAGAGCAGCGCAGTTCCCACATTAGGGACATAGTGTCAAGTGCTGACAGAGAGCAGTTTCTTAGGACCTGCCAGACTGTGGTCAAGGTGGGGAGGGAGGGAGGCAGTGGAAACTGACGGGAGGGGCACGTGAGGACGAGATCTCATGGCCATGTGTTCCAAGCTTAGGACCTTAGACTTTACCCTGAGGACAGTAGGAATCTGGAGCCTGTCTGGAACGTCACCACTGGTCCCCCTTCCAAGAAGGTTGTTGTTCAGTCACCCAGTTGTGTCAGACTCTTCACCACCCCATGGATTGCAGCACACCAGGCCTCCCTGGTGTCCCTCACCATCTCCCGAGTTTGCCCAGGTTCGTGTCCTTTGAATCCAACCATCTCATCTTCTCACGCTCTCTTCTTCTCCTGCCCTCAGTCTTTCCCAGCATCAGGGTCTTCGCATCAGGTGGCCAAAGTAGTGGAGCTTCAGCTTCAGCTTCAGCATCAGTCCTTCCAATGATTATTCAGGGTTTATTTCCTTTAGGATTGACTGGTTTGATCTCCTTGCTGTCCAAGACAGTAAGGGTTCCAAGAAAGTACTTAACTAATTTTTTAATGAATAAATTAAATTGCATAGAGATGTTTGTTTCAGCACATTAAAAAAAGAAAGTTTTCATACTTGTACCTACAATGAATTATATTCTCATTCACAGGACATAGTGACAGTCATCCACGTGCTCCTCCAATCTCTCTTTTGATATTTCTTGCCTTCTCATTCCTTATCCCATACTTTTCCTCTTTTAAGACACCCATTTCTTATGTGTTTGATATATAGCCTTAAATGTGCATGTATCCTTCTAAAAGATATGTTGTTTTATGTATTTTTAATTTACCAATTTTTTTTCTGCTCTAAATCTTTTCCTCCTTCTTTTCTTCCCCTCTTGATATAAAGCATCCACGTTGCCATGTGTACATTAGTTCACTATGTATACCTCTAGTTCATTGCTTGGCTCAGTGGGTAAAGAATCCGCTTGCAGTGCAGGAGACTCAGGTTTGGTCCCTGGGTCAGGAAGATCTCCTGGAGGAGGACATAGCAACACACTCCAGTATTCTTGCCTGGAGAATCCCATGGATAGAGGAGTCTGGGGGACTAGTCTAAGGGGTCGCACGACTGAAGTGACTGAGCACACACTCCCACTGCATAGTCCATATATAGTATACATTATAGCATTGTTTAGAATAACAGTTTGAAATAACCTAAATATTGCAGGTTAAGGATGGGTGAGTAACCATGGTACATTAGCAGTGTGAAATAGCCTGTCTCCAATGATGGTTCTGGATGCCATGGGAAAGGTGTTAATGGCAGTTAGGGGAGAAAAGCAGACAAAATAGTCTTTGCACTGTGAAAACAACCACATAAAAACACATATTCAAACAGTCAACGACTGGAAGGGATCAGAGAAAGATGAAAATAGCTCTAGAGCAATACCCCTCTGCTGCCTGCCCCAGAGCTGGCCTCTGGGTACCCCTCCTCTACCAGAAAGGCTTCCTCTCTGCCAGGTGTGTCCTACAAGTCACCTTCAGTTGCATTTGTCTGCCCTGGTGGTAAATAGGATTGAAACAGAGAATCGTTTCAGAAGGCGAGATGATCTAGTGCTGCAGTATTTAACTATCTTCAAGATTAAACAAGAAACGTTAAGTGCCTTGAGTTATGCATATTACTCTTTCATTTGTGCAAAATAAGAGTAAGACACAGGAACTTGTTTGTGAATGGGAAAATTCTGGAAGAACAGATACCAGACGGTTAACAGTAATTAGCCCTGGGGAGGGGGATTAGGGATCTAGGGTAGCATGGTGTCAAACTTATTCTTAAGTATGAGACACACACTTGGTACCTTTTCTAAAACCGTGTACGATTAAAATTTTATTTTTGAGAAGTTTAAATACGTAAACATCATGACTCTGACTTTGTAAACATCGCTTTTTAAAAGTCTTGACTTTTAACTCGTTACAGATCAACGTCTTCCAAAACAACAAATGTACATTTGGAGCCTCAAACTGTGCCCCTCTTTGGAGTAATGAGGACTAAACCCAACTTGAGGTCTGCTTTGCATGCATTTTGTCATGAATCACAGAGCACACCAGATTCTGGCATTAATTCTAACGCAGAATGCAAGCGCTATCCAGAAACGTTGACGAGGAACAGCGGCGTGAGGATTCGGGTGTGACGGTTCTTGTCCCCAGGATGGATTTGCGCCAGGCTTTGCCTCCTGCCAGGTGTGCGCGCGTCCGCCAGCCTTCTGGGGCGGCGAGCGTCAAGCCTCCGGGCGCCCCACGGCCCAGGGACCCGGCCTCGCTGCGATCTACCCGGGGCCGCGCCCCCGCCGCGCGCGCGGAAGGCCGCAGGGAGCGCGGACCCGGAGCCCCGGGGCCCAGGCGACCCCGCCCCCGGGCCGCGTCACGGGGCGCCGCGGGTGAGCAGCTACCATTGGCCGAGCCGCGGAGGGGGTGAGGCCGCGACCCTTCCCCGCCGGCGGGCGACGAGCCAGGGGGCCGGCAGCCTGGGCCCGGCGCTCAATTTAAACTCTGAAATCCGGGCCGCTGGCGGACTCCGGAAACGAAACGACGTTCGCCCGGCCGGCCGCGCGCCCCGGGCCCCGCCGCATTCCCGGAATCGACGCTTCTCCCGCCATTTGCCACCCGCCTCTCGCCGAGCCCGCGCTCCGAGATCTGAGGCCCGCGGCCGCCGGGAGCGGACGAGAGGCATGGCGCGCGGCGCGGACGGCGGGGACGGCGCTCGCGTCTGGCAGCACGTGTTCCTGCTCCCAGGTAACCACGCCGGCTCCGGGGCGGCGGCGGCGCGCTCGGCCCGACCTCCCGCCCTGGGCGGCCCGGCCCGAGAGCGCGCTGGGCGTGTTCTAGGCGACGGGGCGCGTCCCCTCTGGCCCGCGGTCCCCCGCGCGCGCACCCTGACTGTTCCCAGTCATCGCCGAACCTAGGGGCCGCCGACCCCGGCCCTGCGCGCCCCGCGGCCGCGCGTGGGGACCCGAGTGTGACCCGGAACACGTGGCTTCTCATCTTGGTCACAGTGCCCCCCCCCCCCCTTTTTCTTAAACCTGAGCCGGAAGCGCAGGAGCAGACCGAGTGGATTTTCCCGGTTCGGGTTCTTTGTGGATCGGGTGGCCTGGCGGCGCAGGCTTGGGGAGGGCGGCGCGGGTTCAGGACCTGGGGGCCAGCGGCGAGGCCTGGGGGTGTCTGCTCTTGGGGTGTAATTGGTATCTTCTAGTCGACAGTTGGCTTAGCGTCTGAGCCCTACTGGATCGGAACCTAGAATCCATTAGGTCCGCATTGACCTGAAGGCTCTGCTGCCTTAACACTTTCCCTGCGCTGGGACATGCCTTAATTTGTGAGGCTGCATGGTGGCGGGGGTTAGGACAAGGGTGATTCGAAGAGATTCAGGCAGGTAGCTAAGGGCTGGAGCCAGCCTGTCAGCTTCCCCAGGATGGTGACCACATCCAGGCCTGCAGGGGCTAGGGATGATGGACATCAGTTGCCACCTATGATGGCATGAAGGAGCAGAATAAATGGAGTTTAGGACCAGGGAGTCCTGGCTAGAAAGTTTTGGCCTTTTGATAGAAGGATACATTGATTTGATGGCATAATTGAATATAGGAAAACCCATTGTTCTCTGTATCTAATTTTGAGATGTAGCTCAGCAAATGCAGTGTTTTTGCAGTAAATGATACTCTGAGGTCAGATGTAGTTGCCCAGTAATTTAGATTTTTATGTGTGCTTAGTTGCTCAGTCGTGTCTGACTCTGATCCCTTGGACTATAGCCCGCTAGGCTCCTCTGTCCATGGGGTTTTTCAGGCAAGAATACTAGAGTGGTAGTCATTTCCTTCTCCAGGGGATCTTCTGGGATCATCATCTCCAGGGATGAAACCTGACTCTCTTATGTCTCCTACATTGGAGGCTGATTCTTTACCCTCTGAGCGGTCAGGGAAGATTTTTATGATGGATATTGAAAATTATTACAGGATAATCTGTCAAGGATATTTTGTATGTGTTTAACTTTTCTTCTCTTTGTAAAGAAGTATAACATACATATTGTTGTCCCTTTATAAAGAAATATAACATAAATATTGCTGTTACTTAATCACTTAGTCATGGCCGATCCGATTTCCCAGGCGAGAATACTGGAGTGGGTTGCCATTTCTTCCTCCAGGGGATCTTCCGGATCCAGACCCAGATCGTACCTGCCTCTCCTGCACTGGCAGGCAGATTCTTTACTGCTGAGCCACCTAAGAAGCCCATATACGTATAGTAAAGTGTAGAAGTTTTAAGTGTGCAAGTGAATGACCTTTTCATATGTATACACCACTGTCAACGTTCCACACGTCAAGACCTTGAACTTATCCTGTAGCTCCTCTTGCTTGTTCTAGATGGCCTCAGTAACCTCTATGCTGAACTCTGTCACCAGATATTTGTTCTGCCTGTTAGGTCAAGCATGTGATTCTTTATCCCTTGCATCTTTCACTCAGCGTTACATCTGGGAGGCTCATCTGTAGTCTGTAGCTGTGGTCAGGTTTGTTGGTTCATTTGTGTTTTCCTTGCTGTGTCTATTTTATTGTATGCATAGTCATATTGTTTTTTTCCACTACTGAGGATGGATATTTGGATTATTTTTTCCTGGTTGTAACTATTACGAGTTACACTTCTAAAAACACTTTCATGAGGCTTTAAGTAGCTGGATGTGGTCATTTCTCTGTGGTGCAAACCCAGGAGTGGAATTGCTGGCCCTGGATATTGTGTGTTTAGCTTTGGTAGACACTGCTCAACAGTTTTCCAAAGTGGTTGTACCGATTTATTCCCCCAGCTGTGTGAGAGTTCCCGTTGCTCCACATCCTCACTGGAGATGTTTGTAGTTTGTGTAAGGCAAATTAATGAAGGGCTACCTGATACATGTTTTACAGTAGAAAATTTCTCTTCTCACTGTTACTGTGTTATCTCAACGAGATTTTAATGGTGGGAACTCTAATCATTAAGAGTGCATAAAAATAATTCAGATACACATAATGGCTGAGAATAATTTGAGTTACTTGTTCTATTTAATCAGTATTGAAATTTCATTCTTAAAGTATGTTTGTATCCTCATAGTATTAAACACAAAATCTTTAAGGTAATTAAATATTAATTGCATCCCTGAAATTCGTAGGTTCAATATGTCTTCTTTTGGACCACAAGAAGAATTTCAGTCCAGTTCCTGTTCAAAGCTGGGATGTACTGTGACCTTTGAACTCATTGGAGGAGGCTGAGCCAGCTGTTAAGAAACTGTTGAACAGTGTGGTCAGGCAGGCTGGCTCTGTAACACTTGGAACTTGAGCTTCTAGTGCCTGTAATTCTTCTAACTGGCCTTTACTGCCACCTGCAGGCTCTGGGAGTTACAGATGCCGGTGGTTTGATAGTTACGTCTGTGCAACTGTACTTCTCAAACTTAGGGGCCTCAGTCACCTGAGGAACTGAGCCCCGGAGAGTCTGTAACTCAGTAGATCTGGGGACAGAATGCACATTTCTAACAAGTTACCCAGTGATGCCGATGCTGCTGGTCAGAGGTTCCACTAAGAACCACTGCAGTAGGCCAGCCCTAGGGAGCTGGGTTGGGAGATAGAAACAGCCAGCCTCAGGTTTAGCTGTCTTTATCTTTATGGTGGGTCAGAATTTCCACAGTCATGGGAGTATATGTAAGTACAGCATATGAGGCCCATCTTCACAGACTTGTTGTTTTTTCCAGTAGATGGAAAGTCCTCCCCAGTAAGTTATGCATTTGAGCGGAGGAGAACCATACCCTACCTCTGTTGGTTGTTTGGTCGCTAAGTCATGTTCGACTCTTTGTGACTCCACGGACTGTAGCCTGCCAGGCTCCTCTGTCCATAGGGTTTTCCAGGCAAGAATACTGCAGCGGGTTGCCTTTCCCTTCTCCAGGGGATTTTCCTGACCCAGGGATCAAACCCATGGCTCCTACCGCATCTCCTGCATTGCAGGTGGATTCTTTACCGCCAAGTCAGCGGGGAAGCGCATACCCTGACATCCAGCTGTATTATATCTTAAAGGATACAGTAAAAGACATATTAAAAAGTACTAGTTAGGTCTCTCTGCTGCTAGTTTTCAATTTGTCTGAAAAGTCCAATATCCCAGAAAAACAAGAGCTGAAACTTGGAAGGGATACTTGCGAGGTAGTCAGATGTGGGGCCTTGATTTTTTATAGGCCAGTGGAGACAGAACGGCCTCCCGTTTCAGCAAGGTAAGCATTTCTTGCAGTTTGGGTTGGTCTTCAACATTTCTCCCACACGGCCTGGAACACTGGCTGGTTTGCACTTTTAGTTGCTATAAGAGACTGAAGATCTCTAGTTTTTGGAATAAGGTAGAAGTTTCCATCTCTCTTTGCTGCCCTAAAAGTAAATGTTTTAAGTTATATTTTTAATATTTTTCTCTACTCCAAGTTTTGTACACTTGTCGGTCCTAATAAGTTGGAGTGGATGCTAGCAGGAACGGATTCACTGAATGCAGGAGGGAGGACTGGGTGGGCTGCTCCTATAGCTGAACTCTTGTTATTTAGCCATCCCCAAGGAAACATGAAAGGGTTGGGAAACCCTAACGTTACATGAGGGAAAAAGAAAGGACAGAAATGATCTCAAGGTCCACTTACGCTGAAATCATGCCTTAGTCAACCGCTGCCTGATTGGAGAATCTCCAGGTCAAACTAGGGCTTCCCTGGTAGTTCAGATGGTGAAGAATCTGCCTATAATGCTGGAGACCTGGGTTTGATCTTTGGTCCAGGAAGATCCCCTGGAGAAGGGAATGGCAACCCACTCCAGTATTCTTCCCTGGAAACCCCTGTGGACAGAGGAGCCTAGCAGGCTACAGTCCATGAGGTTATAAAGGGTCGGACATGACTGAGCGACTAACACTTTCACTTTCAGGTCGAACTGGACTTTAGATCACATCTTCAGCTGGAGACAAATTTTGCAATAAAGTTATTTCCCTTTACGTTATGAAAATACACATTTTAAAGTATTTTAGGTATTTGGTATTTCCCCCCCACAGATCGCATTAGCAATGCCAGCTTTTGGAGGGTAGAGGACGGAGTGCTGTCTGGGAGATTATTCCAAGACATTCCAAGTACAGAAATGACCCTTACGTGTGAGGCGTCATGTTAATCACACATAGTAATATCAGATTTGTCTGTCCAGAAGAAACACAGAAATAGATTTGTATGACTGCAAGTTTTAGAGTTATATTCTAATTAAAGGATTTAAAAAAATTAAAAGGAAAAACAAATTTCCTATTTAATAATGGAGAAAATTTATATTAATATTACGTTTGATTGGGACTCATAGCTTTTTTTAAAATAGGCCCACAAGAAACACCTCTTGTTTGAAAAGTAGAAGTTTAATGTGGCAAAGAAAGAATTACTATAGACCCAAATGACTTTTCAATGACCCTAAAAAAAATAAAACTTTTTTCCTCTTTTTACCTAAAGGCATATGGTTAGCCTCAGAAGAATGTAAGCAGGTTATTTTGTCCTTTGTCAACACCGTTTGCTTGTATGTATGTCTGTGCTTAGAATTACACCTTGTGGGCTGAGAGCTTCTCTACTTCCAGAAGAGCTTGATGACCTGGGGGAAACCTGCATTAAGTTGGCCAGAGACAGGGAGCCTGGCTGGTTCACGTGCTGACTTTCGACAACTCCGAATCATTCAGCTCAGCTTCCTGGAAGATGTGTCATTTACTGAATAGTAAGGCTGACGGCCATGAGGGAGTTTCTGAGT